GGGGGGGGGGGGGGGGGGGAGAGAGAGAGAGAGAGAGATAAGTAAGTTCACGGAATGCTGAAATTATTCGCGTACATTCATGGCGTTCCGGACAGTCCTTGGGGTGTCGCCCCGATGACTCTTCAAACGTCGTTGCCGCAACTTCGAGATGAAGTGGAATAACCAAACTCGCAAACTTACGCAGGGACATACTGACGCGGGCAAGTTTTTCGTCATATTTCCCCGGACTTTGCTGATCTGTCGGTGCAACACGAAAAAAATCTCAGTGCAAGTGAATAGGAGCCAGATGAGAATTCCGCGACGTGAAATGATATATCTCTGTCACCGCAACCGAATACAGATGTCTGAGAATTCAGCTGCATTAAAACTTGCTTACAGTAACGGAGAACAATTGACTGAGTAGAAATGACCTCTTACAGAAATCTTTCCGTTCTCACAAACGAGTTTATTTATCTGGTCCCTATTCTTACTAGGCAATGGAAAATTCAGTTATATTAACAAAATCGTTTTTTTCCGTGCGGTCGGACGTTGTAAGGCGACATGTTGCCAAGACGTGTAAAAAAGCACACATACATCAAGATTGCTCCGGTTCCATATAATAATATATCATGTAAGCAGGACAGATCAGCTGATAACGTATCATTGAAATGGATCTCGCTTGGCCATCTGCGTACGTGCACTTACAATTGCACCGTGCAAGACTTGTTCCTGATCACCCGGCTCGAGATAAGCGTCCTTACACTCGCAATCGATCCGAGCAAATCAGTCTAATATTAGAATGTAACGCATTCTCCTATCGGTTACCCTGGTGATTTTTGTAAATCTATTTGACCGGTTAAACGAAAACCCGAATTAACTCTACGTGTCAACAATTTTCCAAACGTTTCCTCTTCTTGGAGACATTTATGTTTCCGTAATTTCAAAAAGAATACGGAGCACCTTTAGTAAGTCATGAAGAGTGACTGAAATTATCCAACGATCGTGTTATGAGAAGCTCATTAATAAAAGCATGATGTTGATCATGACTGTATTTTGAAATATATTTATAATGCAGTCGCACAAGTAGTTGCTTCAAATTCATGGTTAGATCTAATTGCGTCATGCAGATTTCACGATCGGCGCAACGTGTTGCGAAAGCAGAACGTTGAATATAAATGAGTTAACGGCGCGGTGTGCAATTTCGGGAATTAAAAATTTCGACCGTGGAACGTCCGAAACGTATCGTAAATCTCATTATATCCTTTAGCTTCGCGTACGTTAACGTGCGTATCCTTTTACTGATTTATATCCGCGGCGTCTGAGTTACAACTTTTTCAACGGGCTGACGAGGTAATCTCGCTAAGTCACGCCTGAGGGGCCCCATTGAGAGCCGCGCACGTTCGTTCGTTCGCTCATTCGCTCATTCGCTTGCGCGCGCAAGCCGCGTTAATTCGATCACGGAATATTTTCGAACGACACGGCGAGCCGTGCTCCACTTTAACAAAGTATCCGCGGGAAGGCGTCCGTCTGACAACACGTGATAAAATTCGCACCGGTGCCATTTACTTCGCCGCACGCCGGCGTAGTAAGACGCGCCGACACGATCCCGAATTAATACGGCGATAAATCATGCGAACTTTAAGAGACGATGCGTTTAGAGGGGGCACGCGCTCATCGCCCGCCTAAATTTATCGGCGCGTCGCGCAGCGGGCACCCGCATCTCTCCCTTCGTGTCGCGCCGACGACGACGACGACGTCAGAAATTTCACCTCCTCCCCGTATAAACCACAGCATGGAATTCGCGTATATCATCGGTAATAATGTCTCCGCCGGTCGTGCGCACCTGTCTTCTCCCCGGCGACACCCTCGCGACCGCCAACTTACTCGGGCCGTTATTCACGCAGCAGAAACATCGAGACAAGAGCTGTATTATTGCAGCCGCGCGCCATCGAAAATGAGCGTATATGAGCGCCGACCTCGACGATGACGTCGCTCGCGCCGCGGATAATCGCCGCGGGTGAGCGCATTTTTATGACTCCTTTCCTTTTTCTCCTTCCCCCCAACCAAAATCCAGGTCGCATCTTGAGAGATCCGAGTTCTCTCCTGGCTACCTCTCCGTCTCTGCGTCATCCGACATTCCCCACCTCCTTCACCCGCCAGACCCGAGTCGTATCTCATTGTCTACGCTACGCTCTCCCTTGGGATTGTTGCGGCCAGCTGATCAGCAAGCGTAGTAAAGGTAGGTCAGGCTCTACCGCACGATGAGGGTAAGTACAACGATAACGCGAGGACGGTCTCCACCCCGAGAAACAAACTGGAATTCTCCGGGATCACTGTTCCCCGTCGCGAGATAAATTGGAACGTTCAGCGTTCTCACGTGCGCGATGCATGCTGTTTCGATACGATGCGCTTGGGAATCTCGGCTTACGGAGAGCGAACGAGAAGAATTTTTTCGCAGCTCTCTCTTCTTCGCGTAGTCGCGATGAGACGAATACGAGAATCATATAATCAGGCGAGTATCATAAATCTTGTATGTGAACGCGAGACGTAAAACATAGACACCGGCGGCTAAACTTGATCTCGAGACCTAAATCTGGTTTTGCAGGAAGTGTTACGCTAAATTACGCGCGCCACAAACCTAATAAGAACCAGCGGCATATACGAGCACGCGACACGGGCGCCCACGTCGTGCTGCAAAAAGACCTAAAAGCGCAGCTTTCGCGTTTCGTCAGATATCTGCAAGCATGCGCCTGCCATCCGCCGAAGCGAGAGGGAGCGAGAGAGAAAGAGAGAGAACACAGAGAGAGGGTTGATCGCAAGTAAGCAGCACGTGCGTAGCAGTCATCCTGGCGCATTCGCCAGGACCGCTCGTTCCTCCGAGGTTATCTTTAATTACCGGATATCGCTGCTTGTTATCACGCGTAATAAATCGTTGCATCGAACACTCGATCTGCGATATACGCCCTTTGTTATTTTCCTTTTCTCAAGCACCGACTGTTTTAATTTCGATCCGTCTCTCGACTATGCTGACGAAATTTCGTAAAAGTAATGAAATTTGTTTGAAATCTGTTAAAATCAGTCGAGACATATGAAGCAGGAAAACTTCAAAGGAATTTCATTTCGCTGACGCGCGCATTCACTTTGCTTAATGTCGGGTATACACGAGTGGAAATATAGTGAACATCGTAAACTTCCGCCGTGACACCTATAAAACATGCATGGTTACCGCGAAGAATACACGTGCGCGTGTGCTGCGCGCCAACACCGCACCGAGAACGCGACTAGCTCGCAAATCGTTCCCAAGTATCCTCGACGGATGCTCCGATCGACCATGGTGTCTATTATTATTTTTACGCGAATCCAAAACGTCGCGTGGGAAAAACGGATCGCCGAATCTACCCCGTTTTCCACCGGGACAACACTTGTCCGTTCGCCGGGAGGAGCTCCGGAAGGGAATTGTGCCGGACGACACTCGGATGGATCGTAGATCCTGCGGAAGTCGCCAACGGAACATGACGACGCATAGACGCGACAGGATGAGGCACAGCAGTTCCTGGCCCGATCGAGCACGGCAAACGGTGAGGGTGCGCGTCGATCCTCTATCTCGCGCCTTCACCATCATTCCGACGAGCCGTGAAACGGCATATCGATCGGAACCGACTGCGCCACGATCCAATTGCTCGGAAGAAATCATCCTTCTAGATCGATGCGCCCCCGGAGAAATGGCGTCCGCAATGATGAAACGGAGATTAGTCGATGGCAGACCGCCACCTGCCAGCAAAAAAGCCGCGAATCTCGCCAAGAATTCGAGCGATGCGAACCACGAGACCGAGTGTGCGGGAAACATTGCGCGCTACTTCATGCCGCGCAGTCTCCCCTCGACCGAGACGATTCACCGAGACAACCTGTCGCAAAAAAACGCCTTTCGCGACCAAAGCAGATGCAGGTCGGACACCCTCGTGAGGAATGACGAAGCGCGGAGGATGCAGTGCACGAGAAGAGCATCCGTACGGAGAAGCATGTCGGACACGGACGTCCTCGAGTTGCTGCCGCAAGATCCAGACGCCCGGGAAGAAGCTGCAGACCCAGTCGCGCCGCTGATACGCAGATCCCCTCCGACCAGCGCCTTTGATGTTGTGGTAAAAGTCGCGGATCAAAGGCCGAAGAGCAGTATCGTACAAACAAACAATAATTCGCGAGGCCAAGAAGCGAACGAAACGCGAAGGAAGGGCCAGACCGCGTCTGTATTCTCGTCATTCCGACATACCGCGTCGCCGCCGCAGATCAAGATAGTCGACTACGACTACGTGACATCCGTTTCGTCGTGGTCAGCTCATCACGCCTGCTCAAAGTGCACGTCCGAAAGCGACCTCCGCTCGCAGGTGGATCCCTTTCGCTCCCCCTCGCAGAGCAAGAAGAACGACGCGACGGTGAACGCGCGTAGACGCGATGATTCGAGCACATCGTCGTGCGGCCGCAAAAAGGAGACGCCGCGTAGCGAGACTCGCGCCGAGCGTCAAGGCAAGGACACCTGGCACGAGGAGCGTCTAATCAGCGCGGCAAGAAAGGAGGACGGGGACGATAAAAAGCCGACGGAGCGACTGGCGGACTTCAGGAAGGAAGCTACCCTCAGGCGACATTATTATCCTGAGGGTGGCTGGGGATACGTCATTGTCACGTGTTCAATGCTGGTGCACTTTCTCGGGGTGGGTCTGCAGCTCGCCGCGCCCGGAGTCTGGCATATCACCGCCGAATTCAAGTTCCGACATCCCCCGCTGCACAGCGCAGGTGAGAAATCAGCGAGTACTCTTACAATACGACGATAATGTCGCGCGATCGGTTTGTCTCCAAGGCCGACTAAATCATCGCGAACGCAACGGCACGGCACGGCACACGATTGTGATTCATCACGCACGAGGATTTGATTTAATTGGCTTTCTATTAGGGAGACATGTGTACAGTATCGTGTCCGCGCGTCAATATCGTAGCGTTGGATCATCGGTAACCATCATACCGTTCGACGTGTTAATTGCGGATTACGAATGCAAAATTATGCAACTGTGGTCGTGGGAATTTTGATTTGCTGAAATTCTCCATAAATCAGGCCAAATTCCAAACTACGAATCGTAATTGTCAATTTTCCGAACGATTACTTTTATTTGAAATTATATTATTTTCCTTGTGTTTTCGTCAAAAGATCATATTATTTCTGCCGCGTGTTTCCTCCAAAAATACTAGCGCACTTTGTTAATACGAAAGATAAATTGCGAAGAGAACGATATCGCAATTCTGGCCTAGATACGTCTTCTTACGGATACGATTTTGATCACATTTTATGTAACTATACGTATAATATATTCAACTCGCTTCAAATCTGATATCATAAATTGTGTTCGCGATATCTGGAGGGACGACGGCCGTGGAACGAGGCGAGAAGACACCCGAAAATATAGACCTTCGATCAACGTGCGACCTTTAAATTCCGTCCTCCTATGATATATCCGTCGCTTTGTTCTCCCTAATCTTTAATACAGAATACAATAAATGCAACTTTACGAATTTGATGAAATACTATTGAGATTGTATGCGATGTCTAATAAAATAATAATACTGGATATCTATTGGAAGTGTGTCAAAGTTTGTTAGCAACAAGATGATCATGAAAATGTTGCTCTGACGGGAAGTCCGCTATTAACTTACGCCAAAGAGGAAATAATGTCTATCATCCCTAAAGAAACTTGGTAACTTCAGCCGGAATCGAGCTCGAAGTTATTTTCAACTTCGCACTTCCAACGTACATTGATTTTCTTTCCGCGCTTCCCGTAGAGCGAGTTCTTATGAATCGAGCGCAATTTGTTTGCTTTGTCATGTTCAAAATGCGAGTAGCTTTTTACTACCAACGCGGTATGTTTCTTTGGAGCTCAGAAGAATAATCGAAAAGTTTGTTTTACGAATAAAATTTTTAACACCAAAGTTTTGTGAAGAATTAATTGTAAACTAAGCCAGGTTAGCATGTAAACAAGCTAGATTTATAGTTTCCTTTAAGCTAAATCGCCAAACTGCTCCCTCGCGCAAATCTAAAAATAATAAAAAAATCTACCCAGTCCCAATTCTACACGATGGCAACACTATCGATTATTCCGTAAAAACGAATACTTTTCCTGCTCTTTAGTATATCCAGGATTAATGCGCGCGAAAGAACAGAATCGACGGTGTAACGCCGTAAAACGTGCCCGAAAAATCAGGCCAATGAATCGATAATCGGAACGCGTAGCACGACTCACGTTCGGCTTCATGCGTGTGGAGCATTACGATGCACCTGTAAAGAGTCGCTGAATTTTGCACGACGGACGGCAGTTCTCGTGAGGAAGCCGCCGTTGTTGTCAGTGTAACCAAGTACGCGATTCAATTTTTGGTTAGATATATTCTCGCGTAATGTACACGAATGCTGAAGTAGAAATACGATCGACATTTACATGGGAAGTGTCGAGTCGTTAAGAACCGAAAAAGTGCTTTTTGGTGTTTCTGGCGGTGCTGCCAATCGAGTCACATTTTGAAAATATATGGGGCAAACGATAGATATTACCTTTCGAAAGGATAACAATTTAAGTGCACGATAAGTTCGCCGGTAATTTGTTCGAACGACGCGATAAATGGTGCAATAGCGCGTGTCGGCCATACGATCGCCTCCCGAACATCATTTCTTCGTTTCTTTTTTTGTCGTCATACAAAATTCGAACGGCCGGTACACCCGCCACGATCCTGCGAGTTTCATGAGAAACGAGCCGCGAAATGAACGAACGAGCTGACTCGGCAAGCCCGTCGTGCGAAGCCGCTTATCGCAAGCGTCGCCGCTCTTACAGCGCAGCTATGAGCGACGAGAATTCGCTCGACGACGAACCGGAGGAGGACGAGGAAGGTGAGGATGAGGAGGAGGAGGAGGAGGAGGAGGTGATGGAGGAATCCTACCCTCATCGTGACGATGCAACGCGAACGGGCTGCTGCCGGCAACGCGAATGCGTAGCGCGAAAAGTATCCAGCTTGGAATCCGAAACCTGGTCGATCGAGAGTCTAGTTTCGAAGCGGGAACTGACGAAGGGATCTTCCGGCGATAGCGCGAAGTCATGGAGCGAGATCGAGATCCCCGAGTTGCTGTTGGCGCACCCGGAGATCCTATCGCGCGTGATGCGGTGTCGTTGCTTCATCCCGCAATTCTCAGCGGCATGTCGCTGCGCTCAGTGCCAGTACCGACGTCGGAAGATCTCTTGGACGTCCTCCTGCTTCGCCAGGGACTCCCTCCTTTCGGCGGGCGCGACACGGAAGGACTCGGGTTATTCCGCGTCCACCTGCCAGAGTTTCCTGCCGCCGTCGTCTTGCGGCGGAAACTCGGCCGGCAGTCTCTACCACGGTTACCCCGACATCGGCGACAATGCGGGGGCGATTCAGCGCCGACATTCGATCGCGGCCGCCGCTCCGATCCAGCACAGCCGATACTCGGATCAAACGCACTCCCCGTGCGGCTGCCAGATCGGCTGCGGAGATAATCGCCGCAGACTCTCCGCGCAGCCGCTCGCCGGAGATGCCATCGGAAATCGCGAGGGTGCCGGCGCCGCGAGTGCCGCGGAACCAATCATCGCCCGGACCTATCCACGAGGCTACCCGGAGGCGACAGCTTGCGCGACGCGATCGGCCGCTTCGTTTCACCAGGACGCTAAAGCACCGAGGGGTGGCGAAACCACCGGCGCGCGTCCCGCCAAAGACGGCAAGAATGTCGAGGCGAATGCCCGTCGGAGAAGCAGCATCCTAACGATCACGCCGAAGATGATGAGGAGGCGATTCTCGGAGCAGCTAATTCTCGAGGGAGGTCTCGGTAGCGTCGGGGAATTCGAGAATCTGGCCGATCAGGCCGAGGACGCGAACGAGAAGGAGGAGTCCCTGACCGCGATAAACGCTCGGAAGAAAATCACGCTCAAGAAGCATTACTACCCGGAAGGTGACTGGGGATACGTTATTGTCGTAATAACGATCCTCGTGCAGCTAATCTCTCATGGACTGCAACTGGCATCCGGGTCGCTGATAAACCCGACGATGACGCGGTTCGAGCAGACGGTTGGAAATTCAGGTACGACGTTACAGAAGCGACACGATTTTTTCGATAAATTAATCGCCGTGCGACTCATTTGCGTCCCCATTCATTTGCTAAAGTCGAAAAAACTAATGGAAATTGCCTCGACGCAATGTAGAATTTGCATCCGGTCTCGCGATGTGTTGTTCGCGGATAATAGACACCGAAATGAACAGCCGGTGAAAAACTCCCGCGATAAATCGTTACGTCGCGTTGAATAGTGATGGATTATTGCTATCCCTGTAGATTAATTGTTACCGATACCAATCAGCAGAGACAAACTATCGAGTAAATTTCTTACACTGAGAAAAAATATCTAAAAATTAACAAATATTTATTAAATGGCTATCATTAATATACTTATTTAAAACAACATTTGTTTCATTTAAACCCAGTATTGTTCACTTAAACTGAGTAAACAATACTCGATTTAAATGAAGAGAATTTTTACTTAAGTAAATATATTAATGATACCCATCTAATAAATATTTGTTAATTTTTTAATATCTTTTGTGTAGAATCTTGTTCAAGGAGGCTTGTTCGCAATTGACGTCTCGTTACATTTACGCTTTTGTACGATTTCGCATAATATACCTAAATATCTCTCGAGCCCTGATATTAATAGCAGTTCATTAATTATGCATATGCCCACTTTTATAGACGGTTTTGTATATCTATGAAAGCAAATTGCGCGTGCGTTTAATAAACGTGTACGATTAAGCATACCCCCCTAAAATAAAAAAATTGTTAAAAGATTTATAAAAATCAAGTATTGCCCATATTTTGTATGTTTCAAAATTACTCATAAAACATATCGGCGCTTTTAAGAAACGTATGATAAACATGGCATAGAAATCAATATAGTATAAAAATAATAAACATAGCATTAAAATAGCATGTCAAATCAAGGTACACGAATAAACATTTTTTATATCCGAAATATAACCGAACACAAATAATTCTATAATGCTGGGTTAAGTCATAAACAATTTCCGAAACAGATAACAAATGTTTCTTCCGAATAGTTGCAGAAAAATCGAAAAATTCTATTAGCTTGCTACTAACTATTACTAATAGTATATGTATCAGATTAGACTTTATTACAAATATTTCATATGGAAATAAATCAATAAAGAAACGGAAATTTATCTATGACTTAATCGAATATTTGCGGCGCGATGGCAAACCATGCAATTGCCAAGTAGACAATGTATACACAGACTTATAGGAGCAACCATAAGAAATACTTAACCGCTCGTGAACTAAATTAATTTAGTTGTTTTCTCTTCCTGTTGTGAGAACCAACAGGAAAATTTAAGTGATAGCGTGTAACTGTGTCGACTAAATGTTAGAAAATTGAAAGAATAGCCGTGAAGATGGTCAAAAATATTGATATGTGCAATAAACACAAATACTGTGATTACGATTATGAAAATTTAGCCAAAAATTGAATCATAATATATTTTGTGCCACTTTTTGCGTATCACAATTTGTTGTGGTATTTTAATTTCTCTAATGTTATAATTTTGATAAACAAATTAATTTCAGTTTGTATGTGTATACAATCGTCCAGAAAATCAGTGCGATTTATTACTAAGCATGCATTATTGATGACACTCTCCGAGTGTTGAATTTCAACACTCACCACAACGCATTGAAATCTAGCGACATACAGCAGCCTGGTCCACCGATGAAATCCGCAGCAGCACTTCATAAATCGAACCACCCCCGCAGCAAGAAGTGGCGTAGCATCCAGCCTCGGTGCGTCATCCCACGTCGATTGTACTTTACTTTGTTTTACTCGCGACGCGATATTCACATTTTAACGGTATTAAACGATCATTTTTAAAACATTGCTGTAAATATATAATTTTAGACGCTTTTATTTATTTTTTATATCTCGGAAAATTAGTATCTATTTAATATTTTATTCCTTTGCAATTTGGCAGTTGCAGTAGTTTTGTCATACATCGCGCACGATCCACTTCGAAATGGTATGAAAATCTAAAAAATCAAATATCGCGTCGATTGTCGAATTTACGATACAGAGGCAAGCAAAATATAATCGCGTAAAATTTATTAAAGTGAAATTTATTATACAAGAAAAGAATAATTGCGACAACCGTATGAAAGTTCTACTTCTTTGAAGCAGAAACATATAAACGACGTAACGCGAATGCATAATACGAATGTAAATGCAAAATATCAAACTGTATATCGCGACGATAAAGAAATTTAATGATATGTGTATACGCGAGTAAAATATACTCGTAGCTATCGCGAAATTTATACGTTTACTGATAAGAAAATACGCGATTACAAATCCTAATTAACGCGAGTTCCACGCGTCAGCGCCATTCTGACGCGTGGTATCTCCGCAATACATTTTGCGAAGTTCAAGGGTCGAATTTTATTCGACCGTGTTTTATTTGAACAATCATATCATAAAATTGGGTCGCTGAACAAAACAGTGGTATGAAATCAACAAATTGTATGTGTCAAAATATTAAAAAATTAAAAGAAAAGTTTGGAGAAAAGAGTCGGATTTTGCTATGCGATGTGCAAATATTACAATTACGATATTAGAATAAAAATTAAATCACGAGTCAAAATTACTTTTCGTATGACTATGTTTGAATATTTTAATTAACTACCCTTGTTCTCAGGCGTTTCAATTTTAGAACGCAAATTGTAATAGCCACGATTAGCATTTTAATAAAAAAAGTTTATATATCAAATATTCTCTTCTACTCAATGAATTCTCTAATTTCTCAAGAAGAAAAAAGGAAAACATAAAAAGCATGTACCACTGTTTCGCTCGACGACTTATGGTTACATGCAAAAACTATCATGCAAATATAAACAAAGAGATCGCACTGATTTTAATGGAATTTCGGAAACGGGCTCATCAATTTGATTTTTGTAATTCATCCTTCTTACTCACCATGTAAGGGTGAGCCACATTCTGCTGCTTCTAAAACAAAAAATAAAATACGTTGCTGATTAGATTTACGAATTCTATTTAACAGATAAATATATTAGTGAGTTAGTTCGTTAAACTCGTAGTATAAATTATTCCGGTAATTGTATCTCAGTTTTGGACCACAAAGGGTACAAAGGAGGGGATATGTAAATCTACCTTCGAGTCGACCCTGCTCGGCCCGAATCGGATACAGCACCCGCGTTCACCGAAACCAAAGCTGCTTTCGCCTGCAAACTCTGTTAGATCTGAAATAAAAATTAATTTTCTTAATTAGTGATATCGACATTCGAGATATGATCGCGTATTTCTCTTTTAAATCTAATAAAATCAAAGTACAACAGTTACCCTTTGAGTTTTAAGATACTACTATTGCTCACGATGTTCGCGGTACGATAAGCGCACAAGTAACGTACCGTAACTCGTCTTAGGATCACTTGAATTAATTTAAAACAATTAAAAATAGTACGCGACGTGGTGCGGCGAGCCGTTTATCTTCGCGTCTAAGACTGTTATGACTACGGCTGAGTCGCGTGCCTACGTGTGTGCTGTTACGCAGGTCGCTTGACTCTCCTCCCCGCGCGCCCGGCTCTGCCTGAGCGAGCCGTCACACGCTGTATTTACTTACTCAACATGAGCTACGTCATATTATCAATTTTGATAATATTACGCATTGCTATGTAATGTTTAATTGTTTATTTAAGACATGCTCTACAATAATATGCTTATCGTACATTTCTATACATCGTAAAATCACTATTAATATTAAGGTACGATCAAATATACTACGATATAATATAAATATACTACGAAAA